CTCTCTCTCTCTCTCTCTCTCGTTCGCCCTCTACCACTCTCTATCTCTCGCACTGGCCTACTTTCACTTTCTCTCGCTCGCGCTCTTTCTCACTCGTGCTCTCTCCATCTCCTCCCTCCTCTTTCTTCACACGCACGCGCGCTCACTCGCACACACACGCGCACGCACAGACACGCGTGCACACATACACAATCGCGCGTTCGAACTCGCTCTCTTTCTCTCACACCCTTTCCGGTCCGCTCAATTTCTCTACGCCGTCGCACTGTTTAATGCAGCCCACCTCTCACCATTAATGAAATTCTCAGCCGCAGCCATAATTTCTATAATATAATATATATATTTAATATAAATAAATAAATAAATAAATAAATATATATATATATATATAACATTTTATATATATAATATAATATATATATTTTATATATATAGATATTCCCTTATAATCGAAAACCGCTCACATACTTGACAGGCTAAACACACACACTTTCTCACGACACGCTTTGTGATTCATACTCATCGACCAAATCAGTACCTGTTACCCAACTATATAGACCACAGCCGCCGCTTCCCCGGCCAGTATATATATCAAGAGTACATAATAGAGTATTATGTACTCTTGATTGTGCTCTCGATGTACTCGATTCTACTCTTGATGTACTCTCTATTATGTACTCTTGATATATATATATATATATATATATATATAATCGCAACTAGTTCACGCAGGCGGTTAGCGTGTTTTGACGATGAAAAATCAAATTGCCGTCGGCTCAACTTGTAATCAGCTTTCTCCCAAACACTTGCGGGAATAGTCGGCTGTACGATTATAACGCTAGTGTAGCGTAGATACCCCCCCCCCATATAGATAGATATTCTTATAGTATATGCCCATAGCAGACATTACTTTTTCGCGGATGTTCCCCATCATTAGTGAAAACGCATTAATAGTGGACAGTAACAGATCTGTTATTACGTACACTACAATATGCTCGCTCTCAGCCTACTGTTGGGTAAGACGAGACCATAGATGGAGAAATATATGCAGCATGCGCGAGAATTGAGGGAGCAGGTGCACGACGGGGCGCTACTGTCGAGCGTATCGATACAGCAGCTGTGCACTCCGCACGACGCAGTCCGTTATCATGAGCATCGTGTAGCTTCTCTACTGCCGCAGCCTTCACCCCGGACTGTGTGTAGCTTCACTACTGCCGCAGCCTTCACCCCGGACTGTGTGTAGCTTCACTACTGCCGCAGCCTTCACCCCGGACTGTGTGTAGCTTCACTACTACCGCAGCCTTCACCCGGACTGTGTGTAGCTTCTTCTACTGCCGCAGGTCTTCCCCGCTGTTTGTAGCCTTCTCTACTGCCGCAGCCTTCACGCCCGGAACTGTGTGTAGCCTTCACTACTGCCGCAGCCCTTTCACCCGCCTGTGTGTATGCCTTCACTGTATACCGACAAGCCTTCACCCGGCTGACCGCTGTGTAAGTGTAGCTTCACTACTGCCGCAGCTTTACCCCGGATGCTGTTAGCTGCTCCTACTGCCGCAGCCTTCATTCCCGGACTGTGTGATAGCTTTTCTACGTGCGCACCTTCACCCGGCACTGGTGTAGCTTCTCTACTGCCGCAGCTTCACCCTCGGACTGGTGTGTAGCTCACGTACTACGCAGCCTTCACCGCGGATGATGTGTAAGCTTCTCTACTGCGCAACCTTCAAGCCCGGGACATTGTGTGTAGCTTCTCTACTGCGCCAGCCTTCCACCACCGGACTGTGCTTGTAGCCTTCACGTACTGCCGCAGCCGTCACCCCGGACTGTGTGTAGCTTCACTACTGCGCGCAGCTTCACCCGGACTGTTGTCGTAGCTTCACTACTGCACGCAGCCTTCACCCCGGTACTGTGTGTAGGCCTTCAACTACTGCCGCAGCTTTCACCCAGACATGTGTGTAAGCTATCACTACTGCCGCAGCCTTCATCCGGACTGTGGGTTGTAAGCCTTTCTACTAAGCCGCATAGCCTATCACCCAGACTGTGTGTAGTCTTCACTACTGCTCGCAGCCTTTCACCCGGACTGAATGTGTAGCTTCACTACTGCCGCAGCCTTCACCCCGGACTGTGTGTAGCTTCACTACTACCGCAGCCTTCCCCCGGACGTGTGTAGGCTTTCACTATACCGCAGCCTTCACCCCGGACTGTCCGTGTTAGCTTCAGCTACTACGCAGCCTTCACCCGGACTGTGTGAAGTTTTCTACGCCGCAGCACTTCACCCCGGATGTGGAGCTTTCATGACTGCCGAGCCTTATAATATATAGTAATAGCTTGCTATTGTTTGAAGAGAACCGGATTTAATGAGATTTCAATTCTGCTGACTCCACCATGTAGCAAGGAGAACGCGTATTTCTGGTTCATGTATTCGTCATGTAATGAACGCATTAGCATATGCTTGCAAAGCTACACTCTTCGCTTAGATTGATGCTTTCACATCCGCATTTAGAAGGCGCATGATGTGAAAAGAAAGATGTTGAGTTACAACTTCAGGGACCGAGGCGTTCTCTGTCGTGCCTGTATACTATGACGCGTAGCGGCGTTATGTCCACCTCGGATCTTAGGAAGACAACATGTAGATCACTACTTCCCCACGCCTTCGACGTTGGTGGAGAGAAGCGTTTACTGTCCATTCAACGGCACTAATTATCAGAGTAATATACACTTAAGTTAATGACCATAATTAGTTGCCGGATCTCGTTACAACAGAAGCGGAAACGGCCATCTAAGATAATTGTAGTCCATGAGCCAGACCCCCAAATTTCATCAATTGGTACCAACCCTGGGGTGGCAAAATCCGTCACTATATTTTTTTGAAGGCCTAGTACACTGCTAATCGAAAACCTACTTAGCCCTTTCACTTTCTGAAGTTATTGTATCTTTATTCGATTGACATGATGCTATGACCTAAGTTGCAGACAATTTGACATGTGATACAAGGTAGCCCAAGACAGAAGTAAACT